CTAGAGATAAGACATAGAATAATCGGTTAGAATTCATAATAAAAAAAGATAAATTTAGATAATATTCGATTAGTTTACATTCATACGCTAGAGATAAGACATAGAATAATCGGTTAGAATTCATAATAAAAAAAGGTAAATTTAGATTATCTTCGGTTAGTTTACATTCATACGCTAGAGATAAGACATAGAATAATCGGTTAGAATTCATAATAAAAAAAGGTAAATTTAGATTATCTTCGGTTAGTTTACGTTCATACGCTAGAGATAAGACATAGAATAATCGGTTAGAATTCATAATAAAAAAAGATAAATTTAGATTATCTTCGATTAGTTTACATTCATACGCTAGAGATAAGACATAGAATAATCGGTTAGAATTCATAATAAAAAAAGGTAAATTTAGATAATATTCGATTAGTTTACATTCATACGCTAGAGATAAGACATAGAATAATCGGTTAGAATTCATAATAAAAAAAGATAAATTTAGATAATATTCGATAAGTTTACATTCATACGCTAGAGATAAGACATAGAATAATCGGTTAGAATTCATAATAAAAAAAAGATAAATTTAGATAATATTCGATTAGTTTACATTCATACGCTAGAGATAAGACATAGAATAATCGGTTAGAATTCATAATAAAAAAAGGTAAATTTAGATTATCTTCGGTTAGTTTACATTCATACGCTAGAGATAAGACATAGAATAATCGGTTAGAATTCATAATAAAAAAAGGTAAATTTAGATTATCTTCGGTTAGTTTACGTTCATACGCTAGAGATAAGACATAGAATAATCGGTTAGAATTCATAATAAAAAAAGATAAATTTAGATTATCTTCGGTTAGTTTACATTCATACGCTAGAGATAAGACATAGAATAATCGGTTAGAATTCATAATAAAAAAAGGTAAATTTAGATTATCTTCGGTTAGTTTACATTCATACGCTAGAGATAAGACATAGAAAAATCGGTTAGAATTCATAATAAAAAAAGGTAAATTTAGATTATCTTCGGTTAGTTTACGTTCATACGCTAGAGATAAGACATAGAATAATCGGTTAGAATTCATAATAAAAAAAGATAAATTTAGATTATCTTCGGTTAGTTTACATTCATACGCTAGAGATAAGACATAGAATAATCGGTTAGAATTCATAATAAAAAAAGATAAATTTAGATAATATTCGATTAGTTTACATTCATACGCTAGAGATAAGACATAGAATAATCGGTTAGAATTCATAATAAAAAAAGATAAATTTAGATAATATTCGATAAGTTTACATTCATACGCTAGAGATAAGACATAGAATAATCGGTTAGAATTCATAATAAAAAAAGATAAATTTAGATTATCTTCGATTAGTTTACATTCATACGCTAGAGATAAGACATAGAATAATCGGTTAGAATTCATAATAAAAAAAGATAAATTTAGATAATATTCGATAAGTTTACATTCATACGCTAGAGATAAGACATAGAATAATCGGTTAGAATTCATAATAAAAAAAGATAAATTTAGATAATATTCGATTAGTTTACATTCATACGCTAGAGATAAGACATAGAATAATCGGTTAGAATTCATAATAAAAAAAGGTAAATTTAGATTATCTTCGGTTAGTTTACATTCATACGCTAGAGATAAGACATAGAATAATCGGTTAGAATTCATAATAAAAAAAGGTAAATTTAGATTATCTTCGGTTAGTTTACGTTCATACGCTAGAGATAAGACATAGAATAATCGGTTAGAATTCATAATAAAAAAAGATAAATTTAGATTATCTTCGATTAGTTTACATTCATACGCTAGAGATAAGACATAGAATAATCGGTTAGAATTCATAATAAAAAAAGGTAAATTTAGATAATATTCGATTAGTTTACATTCATACGCTAGAGATAAGACATAGAATAATCGGTTAGAATTCATAATAAAAAAAGATAAATTTAGATAATATTCGATAAGTTTACATTCATACGCTAGAGATAAGACATAGAATAATCGGTTAGAATTCATAATAAAAAAAGATAAATTTAGATAATATTCGATTAGTTTACATTCATACGCTAGAGATAAGACATAGAATAATCGGTTAGAATTCATAATAAAAAAAGGTAAATTTAGATTATCTTCGGTTAGTTTACATTCATACGCTAGAGATAAGACATAGAATAATCGGTTAGAATTCATAATAAAAAAAGGTAAATTTAGATTATCTTCGGTTAGTTTACGTTCATACGCTAGAGATAAGACATAGAATAATCGGTTAGAATTCATAATAAAAAAAGATAAATTTAGATTATCTTCGGTTAGTTTACATTCATACGCTAGAGATAAGACATAGAATAATCGGTTAGAATTCATAATAAAAAAAGGTAAATTTAGATTATCTTCGGTTAGTTTACATTCATACGCTAGAGATAAGACATAGAATAATCGGTTAGAATTCATAATAAAAAAAGGTAAATTTAGATTATCTTCGGTTAGTTTACGTTCATACGCTAGAGATAAGACATAGAATAATCGGTTAGAATTCATAATAAAAAAAGATAAATTTAGATTATCTTCGGTTAGTTTACATTCATACGCTAGAGATAAGACATAGAATAATCGGTTAGAATTCATAATAAAAAAAGGTAAATTTAGATTATCTTCGGTTAGTTTACATTCATACGCTAGAGATAAGACATAGAATAATCGGTTAGAATTCATAATAAAAAAAGGTAAATTTAGATTATCTTCGGTTAGTTTACGTTCATACGCTAGAGATAAGACATAGAATAATCGGTTAGAATTCATAATAAAAAAAGGTAAATTTAGATAATATTCGATTAGTTTACATTCATACGCTAGAGATAAGACATAGAATAATCGGTTAGAATTCATAATAAAAAAAGGTAAATTTAGATTATCTTCGGTTAGTTTACGTTCATACGCTAGAGATAAGACATAGAATAATCGGTTAGAATTCATAATAAAAAAAGATAAATTTAGATAATATTCGATAAGTTTACATTCATACGCTAGAGATAAGACATAGAATAATCGGTTAGAATTCATAATAAAAAAAGATAAATTTAGATAATATTCGATTAGTTTACATTCATACGCTAGAGATAAGACATAGAATAATCGGTTAGAATTCATAATAAAAAAAGGTAAATTTAGATTATCTTCGGTTAGTTTACATTCATACGCTAGAGATAAGACATAGAATAATCGGTTAGAATTCATAATAAAAAAAGGTAAATTTAGATTATCTTCGGTTAGTTTACGTTCATACGCTAGAGATAAGACATAGAATAATCGGTTAGAATTCATAATAAAAAAAGGTAAATTTAGATAATATTCGATTAGTTTACATTCATACGCTAGAGATAAGACATAGAATAATCGGTTAGAATTCATAATAAAAAAAGATAAATTTAGATAATATTCGATAAGTTTACATTCATACGCTAGAGATAAGACATAGAATAATCGGTTAGAATTCATAATAAAAAAAGATAAATTTAGATTATCTTCGATTAGTTTACATTCATACGCTAGAGATAAGACATAGAATAATCGGTTAGAATTCATAATAAAAAAAGATAAATTTAGATAATATTCGATAAGTTTACATTCATACGCTAGAGATAAGACATAGAATAATCGGTTAGAATTCATAATAAAAAAAGATAAATTTAGATTATCTTCGATTAGTTTACATTCATACGCTAGAGATAAGACATAGAATAATCGGTTAGAATTCATAATAAAAAAAGATAAACTTAGATAATCTTCGATTAGTTTACATTCATACGCTAGAGATAAGACATAGAATAATCGGTTAGAATTCATAATAAAAAAAGATAAACTTAGATAATCTTCGATTAGTTTACATTCATACGCTAGAGATAAGACATAGAATAATCGGTTAGAATTCATAATAAAAAAAGATAAACTTAGATAATCTTCGATTAGTTTACATTCATACGCTAGAGATAAGACATAGAATAATCGGTTAGAATTCATAATAAAAAAAGATAAACTTAGATAATCTTCGATTAGTTTACATTCATACGCTAGAGATAAGACATAGAATAATTGGTTAGAATTCATAATAAAAAAAGATAAACTTAGATAATCTTCGATTAGTTTACATTCATACGCTAGAGATAAGACATAGAATAATCGGTTAGAATTCATAATAAAAAAAGATAAACTTAGATAATCTTCGATTAGTTTACATTCATACGCTAGAGATAAGACATAGAATAATCGGTTAGAATTCATAATAAAAAAAGGTAAATTTAGATTATCTTCGTTTAGTTTACATTCATACGCTAGAGATAAGACATAGAATAATCGGTTAGAATTCATAATAAAAAAAGGTAAATTTAGATTATCTTCGGTTAGTTTACATTCATACGCTAGAGATAAGACATAGAATAATCGGTTAGAATTCATAATAAAAAAAGGTAAATTTAGATTATCTTCGTTTAGTTTACATTCATACGCTAGAGATAAGACATAGAATAATCGGTTAGAATTCATAATAAAAAAAGGTAAATTTAGATTATCTTCGTTTAGTTTACATTCATACGCTAGAGATAAGACATAGAATAATCGGTTAGAATTCATAATAAAAAAAGGTAAATTTAGATTATCTTCGTTTAGTTTACATTCATACGCTAGAGATAAGACATAGAATAATCGGTTAGAATTCATAATAAAAAAAGATAAATTATAGAAGAGATATAATCTAAGCTTATAGAAGAGATCTATCGAGGATCAAAGCAAGGAAAAACGATAAAAATCTAAGCTTATAGAAGAGATCTATGAGGATCATAGGAAAGAAAAATAGTTTTTAAATAGTTTTTATAGCTTTTTTAATAGTTTTTCCGAATTTATCACATAAATGAAAAATTTATATTTAAATATCTTTACATAATATTTAATCCTTCCAAATAAATTTAATTCAAAATATAAAATTCAATCATCAAACAATATTGGAATCATTGGAAATTGTGCTTTTAAAGGTTCTAATAAATCAACCAAAAAACATAAAGCGCCTGACCATCCTTCAAATAAACTCCATGGACGATCTGGAATTCTTGCTTCTTTCTGAAAAAAATTTTATTAAAATTTGATAAATATCTCTGATTGAATTAAGCATTCTTTTGAATATTTGACTAAAATTAGGGACTGGGCCGTTTTCGAGTCGGACGTTAGAGGCATTTTTTCGTTTTTTTTCTGGGCCTTTTTTTTGCTGTATGGGTCGTACGCGTCAATTTTCTGGCTCGATTTTGCTGACCGAGACTGCCCATTCTGACAACCCTAAAAAATATTTCCTAACAGAAAATAATCTTCTCCTATTTTAAAAATTTTTTTAAAAAAAAACTCTAACCTTAAAACTCTTACTCAACATTATAAACCCAAAAGTTTTTGCCTTATTTAACCATTCTTCTTCTCTTGTAAATCTATATAACAATAGAAGTCCATATCCACTCCCAGCTATTCCATGACAAATTCCTGGACCTTTAGCAAGAATTCCTTTTTTCCATATTAAATTTCCACAACGTTTGGCTGCCTTAAATATTTTTTAGAAAAATTTTTATTGAAAGAAAAAATAAAAAAATTTTTGCGGACAAAACTTGCGGACAAAAATTTTTTGCGGATAAAATTTTTAGGGACCCCCCCCCCCCCCCGCGGGACTCAAAATTTAATTTTACCACGCTTAAGCATTTTTTAAAAAAACAAAAAATTATTTTAACCTCCAAATATTTTTCTTCACCAAAAACTAAATGAGCAGCTATCAACATTTGAAGCACACCAGTCGCTCCGTGACACCAATGAACAAGTTCTGCTTCTTTTCCTATATGAAAAGAGAAAAAATTAAATTTTTAGTTCTACTTTTTAATAAAAATTTTATAACTAAAATTCGAAAAATTGGACTAATTAAATTTGCGCACAATCCGCAAAACTAAAAAAATCCGCAAAAATTTAACAAAATTTTTTTAACCTATTTTGTTTGTATTAGAAGGAAAATTTCCATCCTTTAATTGAATACCCAAAAACCATTCAACTGTTTGTTTAACATCTTCTCTTGCTTTAGAATCGAGGAAATCCCAATAACTAAAAATTCAAAAAATTAAAAAAAAAATTTCCAAATTTTTAAAAACCTCAAAAATATTTGTAAAATTCCAGCAAGTCCATGTGCCGCTCCCAAATATTCTTTTTCATGCCATTCATACATTAAATTTGCATCGGAATCGTGTTCAGTAGAGTAAGTACGGCCTAAAAATAAATTTAAAAAATTATTTGAAAAAATTAAAAAAAGAACCTGCCTCCAACATAGCATTAAGAACTTGTCTAATTTGATCATCAGAAATTATCTTTTTTCTGTCCTCATTTCTAAATTTAATAATTTAATGAATTTAAATGTAAAATTCAAAAGATGCGGGAGTATTCAAAAGAGAACACGATGGCAAAAAGGAATGCAGGCTGGTTCCAAAATTCGATAAACTCAAAAAAAATATTTAAAAAAATTTAAAAAAAAAAGAAAAAAATCCTCAAATTTCCCTTCATTTCCTTTTCGAGTTTAAAAGGAAATGAAAAATTTAAAGGTAACCAAAGGGGAAAACTTTGAAAATTTCCGTTTGACTTTCCAGAATTACTCGAAAAATAATTTTAAAATTTTTTTAATTCCCCGCTCCCTTCTAATTTAAATTTTAACCTCCAAAAAATCTCCAATTTACCTCAACATCAAAAATCCAGCCAAAAACCCAGCTCTCCCATTAAGTATTTCATTATCTTCAGTTTCATCAACAACATATTCAATTAATTTCCCAATTTTTCTTTTAAAATTGTCCAAATCAATTAAATTAGCCAAAAATTTAATTAAATAAAAACCGGCACGTCCATTTAAATATTTACTTTTATTTGAAGAATTTGAAGAAATTTTCTAAAAAATTTTTTTTATTTCAAAAAAAATTTTCTAAAGACTAACCGATTGTGTTTCCAAAATATTTTTTATTTGTTTTGTAAAATCCAAATTTTTGTTTATTTGTGTGACGCGTAAAAGAGAGTAAGCAATTCCGCTTGGACCGACATAGGGGCCTTCTGAAAATTTTTGAAAAAATTTTTTGGAAGAATGGCTAGAAAATAAAGGAAAATGAGGAGGGAGTGTTAAAGCACATAGTATACGTGGTGAAGGCAGACTTCGAGCATAGACTAACATTGAGTCGAACAACTCGATGTTAGGGGCTCTCACTTACTTCAGGTTGCAGGTGCTCACCTACTTATCTACTAACTTCAATAGCCCCTTAAATCTTCGTAATTTTTGACAAATCGTATTAAATGCTAGGCAACTAAACTAGAGAGCGGGATTTTCAAAAAACCTTGAGCTTGATTTTAGATAAGGACCTTGACCAGATTCTTGACCTTGAGTTAAGGAAAATCAAGGAACTCTGAAAAATGCCTCGACTCTGAACTCTGGATCCAGGAAAAATCAAGATCTGGATCCTTTTCAGCTCGTTCTCTAAACTAAATATAGGTAGATTCCCCTTCTTCCTTTACAAACCCATTTCCTCCCCTAGAAATAATCTCCCCTAATTTAAAATTACAATAAACCTTTTTGATATTCATCAGAAGAAATTTTTCTTTGAGAAATTTGTTCAGCCAGTAATTTAATTTGATGTAAAATCCATTCTTCCGTCACATATTTAGCTGCTAATTTGGAATCTTCAAAAAATGGATTGACAAAATAACGAGATGTTTGGGCTTTTAATGCCAATTTATTTAATAATTCCTCAGCTTCCATTCTAAGTTGGTGATTTTTCTGCATTTTAGAGGCCTAAAAGATTTTTAAAAATAAAAGCAAAATTTAAGAAAAAGTCAAAATTTTAAAGAAAATTTTCTTTAAAAATTTAATTTAGAGATAAGGCAAAATAAGGAGAGTAATTAGAGAAGTTAGACAAAATTGGGACGTATCCCCTCAAAATCTCTATTCCTTAAAATCTCTACTGGGCTAAAATGCCTTATAATCTCTACACAGCTAAAATGCATTAAAATCTCTACTCGGCTAAAAATTATTAAAATAACTATTCCTTAAAATCTCTATTCCTCATAATCTCTACACGGGTAAAACGCCTTAAAATCTCTGCACGGCCAAAAATAGGATAAAATGTCTATTTTTTCATTCGGAAGCCTTTTGAGTGCCAACGTTCAGTGCGGAAACGTTGTTCTGATTTCTGGCTTATCTTTTGATATTATTTTGCTTGTATTGTTTTTGCCGCTGCGGATGAACCCAGGCATGTCCAGCGGAACGACAGCAGCCGCTTCGATACGATCACCGCAAGCAAAATGAACACGACCGCAGCGAAGCAGTCGTGTATTATATCTTCGATATTTACGGCGGATACAAGCAGATATCTGCAGCCATTTTTAAATCAATTGTATCCATATCCGTATCCATTACCAAGTCTGGGTTTTCCAATGAAAAGTTCATATTTTACACTTTTGTTGAGACTCTACCATCCATTTGCACGGTGTAGAGATTTTAATTATTTTTACCCCAGTAGAGATTTTAAGGAATAGTTATTTTAAGGAATAGAGATTTTAAGCATTTTTAGATTAGTAGAGATTTTAAGGAATAGCGATTTTAAGGAATAGAGATTTTGTATGGGAGCCAATTGGGATAAAAAGTTATTTTTCGTGGGATAAAATGTCATTTTGTTAAAAGTTGAAAAATTTTCGTAAAAAAAGTTTTTTTCTAATTTTTTTGTACTTTTATTGTTTGCTTTTTGTTATTTTCGTTTTACTTTTTTCAGAAAAGAGAACTAATCTTACTTCTCCTTTATTATATGTGGAGATGAAGAATTGGCAGTTTGTGAATCTAAAATTGGCAGTTAAATATTGACAGTTGAAGAGTTGGCTGCGTGGCAGTTTTAATAAAAATTTATTTAGGAGGGGAATAAACCTGAGTATATTATAGATAAATGTTTTTGAAAGTCTGAGGCTTGACTCCAAACTTGGGTCCAATTCTCGGTTAACCAGTAGAGGTCGGCGCGAAACGGGGATCCCTACGGGATTTTCCGGGATCCCGGATTTTTTTGATTTTCGGGATCCAGGATTTTTCGGGATTTATCCGACGGTATGTCCCGGTATCGGTTAAGAGAAAAAAAATCACGACTCGGAATCCCGGAAAGTTCGCTTTTGCCGACTCTCGTTTAATAAGAGTCTAAAACCCCTTAAAAAAATTTTTTTTTCTAAATATTTTTTCAGAATCATATCAAGGGTTATTTGTTCTATTAATTTATTTTTTTCCTTTTTTGTTAACCAAAAAATACTAGAAAATGAATTACCAAAACAAATCTTCTTTTTATGTCAGTAGAGACATCCAATATTTAATTGGGCAAAAAGTTGTTGAAAATGCTCGTTTTGTGGATGATGGATTTTTTAAAATTTTTGTAAGTTTTTTGAATTTTTTTCTAAGAAAAAAAAAATTTTTTTTCAAAAGTGTTGCCCAAACTTTTTCCGATTGTCTGCCCTCGATTCAATTGCAAAACTTTCAATACTAACTTTGAATAACGCCAAAATTCAGTTTCGGTCGGCTAATGGAAAGGTTTAAAAATTTTTATTTTTTTTAAATTTTAATTCCGAGGGGTAATGTTAACTTTAAATTTTATTTTTGATTAGTTCTCTCACCAAATACCCGTCCTTTTTTGAGATTGACAGGTTCAGAAAAAATTTCAAGTCCGGGGAAAGCTTGAGAATAATAATCATTTACGGATTACGACTACCCTAAGTTTGTAACTTTTTCAGAGGTCAACCCCAACTTTTTTCTTTCAACCTGGGACATCCCTGATAAAAAATCCAAGTCCAGGGATCCAAGTCAGTTTTTTTTCATATTTTTCTACTTAAGATCTCATTATTAGGAATTAAAAAAATTTTTTGTTCAAAATCTTCTTTTCCTCCCCAAAAACACCTACAAAATGAACAAACAACAAAAAAACCTTTCCTTTTTAATGAAAAAATTTGTTTGTTAATCCATTCTGGCCTGAGTTTTTTTGTCGAGGACTGGGAGACTTCTAAACCAAAAATTTTTTTCTGTCAAACTTTTCTAATTTTTCTTCGTTTTTAAAGGATTCCTTAATTATCGATTTGTCCAAATATGTTGGCTACGTTTATCTCAAAAGATTGTTGGAATTAATTGTCAAATACTCTTTTAATGCCATCAAAGAAATCCATTTAATTTCTTTAAAAGATGTCGATTTTGATAAATTTATGGGAACACTTTTAATACTTGAAGGTTTTTTTTAATTTTTTATTTTGAGGGGTTTGGAATGGGATTTTCTTGGGTTTTCCGAAAATTTTGAGAAAATTTGTGGCTGTTTTTCGGGGAATTTTTGCGGATTTTTTAGAAAATTTGTGACGCAGAAAATGCAGTTTTTGGTCACAGTTCATTTTATGGTTCTGATCCATATAAATATTCTGATGCAGATTGATATGTCATTTGAAAGAGCTCCTCGAGCTGAGTCGAATGACACCAAAATCGGCGAAATCCGACTTGATTGGACGGAGATATAGGCTCCTAAAAATCGAACATCCAAATGGGCGATGTTTGGATATCGGGTCAGAGCCATAAAACGAACTTTGGCTTAGTTTTTCTTTTCAATTTCTATTTCTTTTTTGATTTATCCGAATCTAAGTTGTTTGCTCTATCCATCCCTCTCTTACGGACCTTTTTTGACACAAACGGCTTTTTTTCAATACCTCCCCTCGGTTTCGTTTAGTTAACCGTTCTTGTCCAGACCTATTT